CTTGGTGCCTTAACCATGAGTATTACTGAGAGAAAACATCAGGCTACCTTGCAGCCCACAAGTACTACTGGTATTAGGAGAACTGGATGGTTTTGCTAGATTTATTTTTCCAAGATACATTCATTTCCTGTGTTTTGCTATTTTTACTATTTTTCTAATATCAACTTTGATATTGGTGTCATTTTTTAAAATGACTACAGTGCCAAGAGTAAGTGAAAAATTTTCTGAAAAGCTGAGAGCTGCACTTAAAATAAAATAAAAATTCTTCATACAGTGCACTTTGAATCTCAGCAGACCTACAAAACAGATAGGGGTAAAACTGCAGAGGCCATTGCTTATTAATTGTATCACAAAAAAAAAGAGTGTGAGATGGACTTTATCCAGGCAGTATGAATCCTGAATCCACTGACTGGACCAGGTAGTCCATCCCCAGCCCTTAGGACATGCTGGGTGGCAGCCTAGACAGAAGCCCATTACCAGTGATAGTCTCTCTCAATACACCTGTAAAAATTACTTTGGGCATCGTGGCAATCTCTGCCTTGTATATGCAAAACTTATCACCCAGTAGTATTTTCCCTGTCAGTAAAGTTTGATAATGAATAGACCTAGCAGTAGCAGTGATTTTTGCTTGTACTTTTTTAGCCAAGTTGAAGAGAAATTGAATTGTTTTCACAATTAAAATTATTACAGCAGATAAGGCAATTTCTGGTTATTCATCTTTACAAAAGACACAATGAAACAACAGTAGAGTCCAATTGACAGTATAGTGTAACTGACCTATGTGATTCAATACATCTTCCCCTCCACATTTAAAGCTATAACATCTTTTCAAGCATTTTTTTAATCAGAAAATATTGATGCTTTTTTTACATGGATTTGAAGGAAAATGTAACATGAAAGGACACAAAGAAGAAAAAAATGCATTACACATGCACACAAAGATGTAGATATAGGCCAGCATTTCTGTTCTTTCACCTTTAACTTTCATTTACATGTCACACTGTTTACTTTTACTGAGAGAAAAAAGTGTATTCTAGACTCTGGATCTAAGCCTACTTATTAGCAGTACATTCCATCTCTGTAAAATACAGCTTTGAAAAACAGTAACTTGAAAATTCATACGACAGCTTGGAATCAACTGCTTTATAAGTTTTAATAAGTCTTTCCTAAGACAACTCTAAATCAAGTAAGCTTGCTGTACCCTAATATAGTGTATAAGTGCTTTAGAGTGATTTTTTTTTCCATTAAATTGTATTTTCTTTCATGTCACATCCTTACAAGAAAGTTCTCCTTCGTCTGGGGTAAGCCAACTGATTCACAGGCCAAGATTTTAACAGAAAGTACTGTACAGACTTTTCCCAGATAGATCCCACATCCCAACCTGTCCTTAAAAGTCTGCCTCTTCAGATGCCAGTTCCAGTCTATTCGCTTTCATTTAGATAAGACTTGTCAATACAATGAAACATGTCGTGTATTCTGAAGTCTAAGCAGTGCATTAATTTGTTTATATAGATTCTTTCCAGGAACCGTGTGCCCTTCCATGTTTGCTTAAAAGCTTCATCCCTGAGCTATTTTTAATTTAATGAAAGAAAACTCATTCACTGCAGAGACAGAAGCTATTCCTTTAAAACAGTATATTCCCAAACAGCTGTCTCTGCTGAAATATTGGAAGCTCACAACCAGAACAAATGACTCCTGCTTTCAAACTGGTACCCACATGCTCTGGGTTGAGTTCTCATGTTAATGGCCCTTATGCAGCTATGGCATTTCAGATAACACAGAACTAAGAATGCAAAAGGGCTTAGGTGAAACTAAATGAACATTATAGAATTTCACCAAGTCTTCAGCCATGGTTACATCACACACTGCACTGTAAGACAGTAGCAGAGCTCTGTACATGAAGAGAATTCAAAATGGGATCTAAAAAAAAACCCAAAATGCTAATCTTGAAGTCATCTAACCTGGCCAAAAGGAAAAATTATGAACAAGAGAATTCATTATATCTCATCCTGCCCAGGAAACAGAATTCTTGCAAAAGCTGAAGCAAGTACTGAACTGCTGCATTCTTTCCCCCATAATACAACTGATCAACATTCTCTAATCTCCAGAACCTAAAACTCCAGAAGACACTTGTTAGATTAAAAATGAATGCATTTGAAAGAAAACAGATACATTTAGGTAAATACGTGACACAAACATTGGAAGTCACTATCTACCAGAGTAAATTCTGATGTAATAAACACAAAATGTCATTTTATGTGTTCTATGCCTAAGACCTTGAAATTACAGCTTGGAGTGCTCAGTCCCCAAGGCACACTGCTGCTTGCTGTGGTCTCAGCAGTCCTCATTCCTGGATTTTCAAGGAAGTAAGAAAGTCAGCTGTGTTCCTTGATGTCATCAGCCACCTCTCATACAGTAATTAGAGGGGCAGATCCACACCAGTTCACTTGTTCGTTGGCTACATAAAAGCCTTCATTTTACAAGACTGTCTGGCACCATTAAAGAAGAAAGAATAAGAAGAACACCCAAGGACACACTCACATATAGCATCCTAAAGGAGTTATATAAGGTACAGAAGTAAATAGCTCAGAAAGTAATGCCTTCTATTTATTTCCACATAAACTACAACAGACACAAAGAGTACAATTAACACTATCTGAGCAAATTCTCAGCTGTTTTACAACATAGTCACCACCATCAGCTATCCATTTTTGCCAGTGATGAGCAAGAGCCTGCATGCTCTGCTCATCAAAACCTGCACCAGTGAGGTGACCCACTGTCACCACTGCTGAAACACATCACCCACTGCCTCACTGTGCTTGCATCCACTGACATTCACTGTTGTGTACTGAACGTTTATGGAGACCAACCAGTGGATGCAAGCACAGTGAGATGTGTCAGATGCCACTTGTCAGACTGCCCCTCTGCTGCCATCTGTCACACAGCAACAACATGTAACAGAATACTGTCAGGAAGGTTCAACCTCTACTTCAACACCACCAATGTTACTTAAGACACAACTACATACACAGTATAGTAAGGACACCTTATTTTCTCTTACTAAAAGTCTCTGAAAATTAACAGAAATCTTGATAGGACATTTTTACCACCAAGAACATACAACTTTAGCATCAAGCATATGGTACAGGAGAGTTTTATATATACTTGCTTATCTCAAACTACATTTATGCAGGAAAACAATTCATGTACTTACTAAAATTAGGAAGAGAACCAAGAAAATCCGTGTTACAGTATCGCAGAGTTCCCTACTGTACACTGAAATGAAGACTAAGATTACTTATCTCTCTTTCCAAAAGATATTAATTTTTCCTTAAGTTTTTCTATCAGAGTCTCTCCACAGCTCCCAGTGGATTCCCTGGCAGTCAGCAACACTGAATAGAAGCTGGATCTTGAACTCAATACTGTCAGTTAAGCTGTTTTCAACAAACACAAAACTAAGAGCATGAACTGGCCCTTTTAACCTCAATTAATCTAAAGCTAATAATTTAAAGAATTAATGAATGAGAGAGGTTACCTCAAATGTAAAACTTGACCTTATGACAGAATATTTTCTTTTGCAAAGTTCTCGATACAGATTTTATGCCCTTAAAAAGAATGCAAGGATTACACAGTTCAACACACAATTCTTTAAATCTCTCTCGCATGAAGGAGAATTTGGAAAGACGTAGCACAATTAAATTCTGTAACTGTCTTCCCCTTAACAAGTCTTAGCCAGATCTCAGTTTTAGTAGCTTTTTCAGCTCTATGTAACCTTCTTAATTCACATCTCTGAAGAATCTGTGCAAGAGATTGAAGTTTTTCTTCTTATCTTTTATGAAATAACTTATTTTATGTGATATGAAGTGTCTTGCAAGAGTGGTTGTGTTTTAAGGCCTTATGTATCAACAACTATTTTATTAATAACAAAGTGGGGGGGAAAAAACAACAACAAAAAACAACCACACATACAAGAAAGAAAACAAACCAGTATTTACATCTGGTACAATTCATCTGATGAATTTACTGACCATGTATTCAGTGCACGACAAAAAAAGCTCCTGAACTTAAAATCACAGAATTGTAGCAGTTGGAAGGGATCTCTGGAGATCATCTCAGCCAACGGCCTGTTAAAGCAAATTCCCTAGAGTATGTTACAGAGAAAAGCATCCAGGTAGGTTTTTGAATATCCCTAGAGAAAGAGACACCACAGCCACAGACTCTCCGGGCAGCCTGATCCTGAACTCTGCCATCCTCACAGTGAAGAAGTTCTTCCACACGTTCATATGAAACTTCCTGTGTTGCAGTTTGTGCCCAACGCCCTTTGTCCTGTCACTAGGCACCGCTGAGAAGAGCCTGGCCCCATCCTCTCAGCACCCACACTATAGGTATTTATAAGCAATTGTAAGACCTCCTCTCAGTCTTCTCTTGCCCAAGACAGTTTCATATGTATAATTATTGCAGAGCATATACTGTCAGCAGAGAGAAATATGAGCTTTGAAAGCTATATACTATAGAATATTTTGTTTTTCAAAACTATACAGAGCAGCACGATACAATTCTAATGAAAGGAATGGCAGGTAATGTTATATAAGGTATGCATGACTGAACATATACTGCCAGACATATGCTCTGTACAGTAGGTTTTATGCACATCTAAAATATAGTACATGCTTGACAGCATGGTATGGTACAAGCAGAAGAGTAACAGATGAGACAGAACTACAACTCAGAATCAAAATGACTTTGCTTCTTTTTTTCCTTTCATTGAATGGAGAAAAAGAACCAGAGTTCAAAACTTAAAACTCCTCCCTCAAACATTTCAGTACTACTAGCTAGAGTTGTCAAGCTGATTACATTAGCTTAGCCATTCAACTTTGTGAAGACACTGCCACTGGACATTAAAAAAATATCACTATTTCCTGTCATAACGATATGACAATGGCCTCTAACATATAGATATCTTATTATAAAGATTGAAAAGCATTTTTTTGCATAATTACCTTGTAAAGTCAGTCATCTCCATCATAATCACACACATTCTCTTGGCCAAAACAATTATGTCATTGCTGGTATCATCCCATATTTCAATCTCTGCATCAAGCTTACTCTTGACTTTTTTGAAGTCAGCCACTTGCTCAGCTATCTTCTCTTTCTCAGCCTCTGGCAGTTGAGTCATCTTGGCCTGAAACATAAAATAGAGTCATAGAATGGCTTGGATTGGAAGGGACCTCTAAGATCATCTAGTAGGCAGGGCTGCAAACAAAATAGTGTTACTTGCTTAATACCTGTCTGTGTCAGAGAGGGTTTTTTTTGTTGTTGTGATTTTGGTATTTTGTTTTTGCTTTGTTATTCAAACTAGATAATAGAAAATACATAAAAATAGAGCAACCCGAGCCAACTGTCCCAGCCTGAGTACTTCTGAATTTCAGTATCAATACATAATCACTGGGTTGAGCCAAATAAGTTAGGTTGGCATAATGCAAACAGTGCCGTTCATGAAACTATTACTATTAATGCAGTAAGAGAAACAAGAGAAAATTATTCAAAACAGCCTGTATAAAATATGACTGACATATTTTCCTTTTTTCTTCAAGGAATCTAGGTTTTGTTAAGTATGATGCAGGTGACAAACTGCAATAATCTTTCAGGTGCACAAGAATGAAAGGAAAGGTTTAGTTGTTCTAAAACATTTGAACGTGCTTGTCCTCTGCTAAGAAGGCTCCTCGAGATTATTTCAAGAACTGGGAAAGATCTGCTAGTTCAAACTTGCATCTTCTGTCTCTGAGGAAGATGTTGATTGAAGCCCTAGAAAATCAGTATGTGACTAAAGTTATCAAACCTTAAATGCTAACAGAAAATAACCAACATTCAACTGAAGCCACAGCCAAACTGGGCTCAGGTGGGACACAGCTCTATATTTGGCTACAGTTCTGGACTGAATTGTTTGCAAATATTCCACAAGATAAAACTGTTTCAAATGAAGATTTAGTACAGCCAGAGATACGGTACATTCCGTGCATATTTTGGTTATGGAGTCAGAAAATTCAGTCTACATTATATGCATGTATTCTTTCTACATTTAAGCATGATGCCTTTTGTGTTTGTTTGTTTTTAATGTTAATGTAAGTCTAACATATCAAGACTGACATAATTGCTGAAAATGCAGCATGGTGAGAAGAGAAATGCTTTCCTTAGAACTCTTATTTATGAGCAAGATTATCAGTTTGCTCCAGACAAGGGACAGGTACACTTCTTTCACCAGAAACAGGCGAGAAACTAAACAAAAACAAACCAGGCTTTGCAAAAAAACAACAGAGATAAGGCAAAAAGGTATCTGATGCATGAGGACCTGCCAGAAAAAAATTACAGCTTTCACTTTCCAACAATGCAGAACAAACTATTTCTATATTACTGACCTGATAAATTGTGTAAATTTATTCTAAGAGCAGAAATACAACAAAACTACAGTTTGCAATGAAACCAGTCATTGCTTGGGATTGCGTTACTGCTGATTTGTTTGTTTGTTTGGTTTTTAAGTACTACGTATTGAACTTCTGGATGGAAATAAAAGATCACATACATGAACTAATTTTAAATAAGTCTAATTTCTCATTTTCAGGTGGAATCAAACAGAAGCGTAGCTGTGCTTCAGCTCCCAGTAAACTAGAATGTGTAGTTATGTGGAGGAAATGATTTTCAATTGCAGCATTAATTTAGCTAGAACCAAAAGTTCCCCTTGCCAATCTTCTAACCAGTATCAGCCAAATCAAATTTAATGCAGAACAGATTCCCTGCGTGGGGACTTTGAGGAAGTTCATGTTCTTCCTTAGCTCTCCAGACACTGAACCAGAAGCTTATATTCCAAAGTGGCTGTTCCTGTAGGACTGCCTCTCCAGAACAGAGCTTGCCCACTTCTAAATCAGTCGTAATCGAACAGTAGGAATTATGTTCTAAGGGTACATTCTCTTTGGTATCTCTTCACCAAAACTTAAAAGTCCTGGGAGGTGATTTGAAACAAAGCTCAGGCTTCTCAGTTGACTCAGTATATCAAAACAATTAAGGAAATAATTGCTAGAAGTCAGTGAAAGAAAAAACTAAAATCTCCCTAGAAAAAGTGGAATTGCATAAAGCCTTTGCTGACTATCCTAATGATTCTTAAACAACATTACAGTTCATAGGCTGAATCCAATAAGTCACACAGAAGTTATCATGCCCACAGTTGGAAAATATTCAAATCACAGGATACAGAATATTGGATTTGAAAGCATGACAACCACATCAAGATTAAGAAAAGGCAGTTCTATTTATTCAAAATACCTTACCTATTTAGTGAATAACCTCATATACATCTTCTGACATTTTGAAGAGTGCTTTGTGCATTTAATTTTTGGTTAAATAAAGGAAAGATTGGAAGGACACAGAAAAGTGTATTATGAAAACATCTGTGAAAACATTAAATGCAAATCCCATAGTAAATTCTTCCTTTCAGATTTGTATCTAGAACTCAAATAGAAAAATAAGTATTTGAAAGTTTATCCTGGGTTTTCTTTCATTTTTGCTGCTACAAATGGTCATGTGGGTCATACTGGCTTTGGTACAGGAGCGCTAAACAACTCAGCATGAGTAACTGACTACAGGCAATGAACTTGTGACACAACACTTTCTCTCACGTGCCCTCTCCTGACTCTGACCACTAATTTCTCTACCTGTGTGATCCTGGCTACAGACGGCCTCTCAGAGGGGCAGAAGGACAGCCTCATGGACATCAATTATATATGGACTAATGCCAGGATGACTGGAGGCTTTTTGCTCTTGCTGGCTTTTCTATACAAATTTATTCATTTTTCTTCTTCCTCCCAATAAAGCCTTATCTCAGCAGAATCCCAACTGCCTCCAGTTTTACTGTAATTTAAGAAACATTCATCTTTGAAGTATAATTATGTAAATGATTAAATGCATGTCTACAGAAAAGCAAATAAAAAACAGCACATAGATACTTGAAATCGACTTCATTGGTATTCTATGCAGATACCATATGTCCCACCAGGCTGGGGGAACCAAGATCTTTAGTCTTGTTCATCTTGATGTCACTACTGTGTTTTATATCCATCGCCTTCTCTATGAAGTGGTCCACCTCATGTATTATATAAAGCAACTATTAAGACATGTAATTATCTTGCAAATGTTTTGTGGTATTCTTGTTTATAAAACATCATCTTCCAAACTTAAAACAGGAAGTTACAGCAGTGACTGAATTACCAGTTATAATTGATATAATGGGTAATCAGCTTTATACGCACTGCATACGGTTTTCGAGCCATGCGATCTAAGAGTTTTTATTTATGCTTGAATTGTTGTGTCACAAGGTTAATTTTCCCATTTATATCAATTACTGGAAATTATAGGCCTCCCAAAGTATGTTGTAATTGCAATCGCTAAATTATAAAGTGTAACTGAGTAATTAAAGGAATACTTTTCCTGTTTTGTTTAAGAGAGAGAGAGAGAGAGAGATTGAAAGAGAGAGAGAGAGAAAGACCTAAAACAAACCTCATAAAATCAAAACACATTCACCTCATGGTTACAAGAGCTTCCTAAGACAAATATGAAACAGACAAAAATAAAGATCTGGGCTACAGAGTCTAAAGAACTGAAGTACCCCTTTTCATGCTGTTTTGCATTGAAAAACGTATGCCCTGATACACAAACCACAAGAAAGATGACATCTTAATGAGGGAAATCTGACAAAGTATCCTATTACAAAAGTCAGTAAGAATGACTTTCAGCTGGAATGAGACACATTATCCAAACAAAGGCACAAAGGAAACCACAATTCTGGACCTCCGTGTCATGGGCAGGGCTGCCAACCATCAGACCTGGCTGCCAAGGGCCCCATTCAATGTGGCCTTGAACACCTGCAGGGATGGGGCATTCACTTCTCTGGGCAGCCTGTGTCAGCCCCTCCCCACTCTCTAAGTACAGAATTTCCTCCTAACATCTAACCTAAACCTCCCCTCTTTTAGTTTAAAATCATTTCCCCTTGTCCTGTCTCTATCTGCCCGTGTACAAAGTTGATCTCCCTCCTGTTTATAAGATCCCTTCAAGTACTGGAAGGCCAGTAACAAAATAAAACAAATGTATGCACAGTCTAAGTGTAGATATGACTTCATCTTGAAATAGGCAACAGATACATATAAAGTAAAGATCTAAATTAATCATGTGATATTACACCAGTGCTCGATTATTTTGCCCACTAGGAAAAGCAACTTTTTCATTACTTCTACAGTATGGTACAGGAAAACTATTAAAATTAGGAGAGAGAGAAGCTGTATTTCTTACTTTTCGTTTTTCCTTAAGAAAGAAAAGTACCTGCAATATATATATATATTTTCTTTAATTTCCTTTAACTCTTGAGGAGTTATTTACATTACCTTGTTTGCAACTTGACGCTACAGAATAAGGGTAGGGAATCTTTTTTTTTCAAACCCTTTTAAGTTTCAGTCAGTTTGCTGTTACAGATTGAGACAACTTAAGAGATCAGAACAAATTATCCACACGATGACTAAAACAGAGGACCCATAAGAAGCAGCTACTTAGTGAAGATTTTGACTCTTGTCCTACTGCTGCATCATTTGCCAGTGAAATTCAACCTCAAAAATCGGCCTTAGTGCCTGACTTCACTCTCTAAGGATGACTTTTGTATAGACCTACATTATTCTCTTGAATTCTTAAACTGACATGCTTTTTGTTTTCCCAATCCCCTAAAACAAATTATTGGCCAGAGCCATAATGTCAGAATTCTTATCTCTAACATGGAGGTGTGGAGGGAAAGAGGGAGGAAGGGAGAGAAGAGAAACAGCAGAATGAAGCACCATACCTCCAAATAAATGTTTACATTATCAAAAATTTCCTGAGACAGAAACGAGCCAGATATCTCTTTGACAGGGAAGAGCTTCCCTTTGAAAACTATGTAGCATTTCCTCTATTTGTAAGGTGCAAAGTGTTGTGAGACTGTAACTAGAGAAGAGGAACACTGTCTTTATACAATTTTGAAGAAATTTAGTGTCTGAAGTGATTCTGTTAACGTCGACGCATCCACTGCCTTTTAAATCACATCCTACATTCTCTACTGAGTGAATAATCACTCAGATTTGGAGAAAGAGGTGAAACAGCAAATACTGGATA